CTTCTTTACTGTCTGAGTCCCCAAGGCCTGGAACAAACTCCCCAGCGCTTAGGGGAGAGGGGATATTTGACATCCACTTTCTTGTATTCTCCAGCCCCAGGACCCTGCCACTATGTGCTGGCGAGATCCTACACACCCCAGGAGCTCTGCTCAGGCCCCCAGGGCAAAGCTGCAGGGCCTGAGTCTCAGAGGAAGAAGTCTGCCAGGCTGGGGTCTCCCCTGTGCACGGTCACGGCCCTTGGAGGTTGGGCTTTGACAGGCAGCTCCACCTTCGAGCCATTCAGGCTCTTCAGCTGACGCGAGGTGTGATGGCCTAGATCAGGAGCTGTGAACCTGCGGCAAGCCTGCCACCAGTGGCACGGGCTCCCTCCCTCCCAGGCCTGCAGTGCGGTGCTGGGTGCTGCACAAAGGCAGCGAGAAGCACTCCCTACCCTCCCATGCCAACAAGGTGGAGAAGGAAAGTGAGTCCCATGAGCAACAGCAGGACCCGGTCTGCAGACTCCCTGGTGGCAGGTGCCCTGGCCCATCAGGCTGGGTGTGGAGGACCTTGTGACCAGGAGAAAGCGGCTGCTGGGCCTCCACAAATATCTACTCCAAATGCCCACCCCAACACCCAAAGGACAGGGACGGGGTTCCTGCACTCACTGGTGCTCCAGGTTCAGCTCTGGCCAGGCCCCCATTGACGTCAGCTGCTGCTCCAGCTCCACGATCCTCAGGCCGATGTACCCCGAGGACAGCAGCAGGATGACCACCCTGGAGAGAGGGGCAGCATTAGCCCATGGTCCCTGACATACCCAGAGCTGCTGAAATGGGTGGGAAGGGGAAAGGGTGACATTAACCCTTGCTTGGCTGGTCTGGACATCAGAGCCAAGATGGTATCTGATTGAGGCCAGGGTTGCAAGGCATGCCAGCCAAGCAGCATAAGACCTGGAGCCAATGGGGTGCCAGTGCTAGGCACCGGGTGGCCCTGGCATAGCACTGCCCAGTGCAGACCTGGCCATGCCCATGGAAGGGTGCCTTATCAGTGCCCTGCCCCAGCACTCACAGCAGCAGGTAGATGAGGATAACCACATTGAGAGTGCTCAGCTGCGACCACCAGCTACTCGTCGTCACCTTGGTCTGCCCAATGACCTGGATGCCCCCTGCAGAAGAAGGTACCATTGCAGATCTTGTGGGGGTACAGGGGACTGCATGGCCTCCCCCTTGCCCCATAGCCTCTCTCTGAATTGAGGGGGTAGAGTGGGTGCATCCCCATACATGCCAGCCAGGGGGCTGAAGAGCCACAGGTTTCACACTTGCAAAAGGAGGGGAGCCGCAGTGCTTACTGCACATGAAAGCTGTGGGAGCGATGGCAGGGGGGGCTCCACTGCTCTGGGCAAGGGATCCAACTGGCCAGGTCCTGCCTAACCTGTCCCAGGGCCAGCCTGTGCTGACTCCTTTAGACTGACTGACAGCAGGTTAGCACCTGGTTTCAAAGCTGTGGCAGGCCTAGCAAGGGGGCATGGCCATGCCACTGTCAAGCAGTCACTGTGACAGAGAAGAACACATAGCCCAGGGTACACATAGGGTTTGCAGGACAAGCTGGCACTGGGGGGCACCAATGGAGACCCTGTTTCCCACTATTCAGAGTAGCACATGTTGCAATCT